TAGCACACTCCCAAATTTTTTTTTCATTTCAATTGAAAGTGCAAGCTAAGCTATGTAAAATTTCATCAATTTCAGGAGAAATTCAATCATTTTTACTCTTGTTTTCAGGCCGTCCCAAAGACCACTTCGTCAGGTAAAGGTACCAGGACTATCACTGCTAAAGTGACCGCCAGACCGGACACTATGAGAACAGGTCAGGCATCCCTGAGTGGGGTTGGTCTAGCGCCACCAATGAGCTCAGTTCTCGTTGAACGACATCATCCAGTCACACAGGTAAGAGGATGTCATGTCTGGTAATTTTATGCATCTCCAATTAGCATGGTTGCCATCTGTATCTGCAAAAAGATCATTTTGCATCCTCAAAGGACATCCAGTGCGGTATATCCATTTCACCACAAGACTTTTTCGCCCAAAGTTTTCTGCATTTTTTTCTTTTAAATTTTTAATATTTATAGAAATGAACCCTAATTTTGGAGTGAACAGACAAAATTTGGGTCAATTTTCAAGTTTTTATTCTAAAAATGTGGCTATTAGTGCAGACTATAAATGGGATGAGTTTGTGAATTTGTGATGAAAAGTTGGTGAAAAGGATGTACTAGTAGTTTCTTTTCTTAAAGTCTCTTCTTGTGATGAGTGAAATCTGAGTCAAATTATTTTCATTTTTGCAGACATGTTTGTGTTGATAGAAATATTTGAGAGCTTGATTTTGCTTGTCAAGGTCAAAGTACTTTAGACGGATTGAAATTGTGGATGAAATATTTTCAAGGTGGCACTGTGCATCTAAGCAAATGCCTTTATGGCTTTGGTGAATTTTAAGCAATTGATCACCTGCGTGATTTGCTGCAGCCATTTTTGATTTTGTCCAAAATACTGTGATCGATTCTTTGGGTGGTTATGTTAATGTTTCACATTTGTTTGTGTTTCAGCAAACTATAGGACATGCTACAGCTAGCCGGTATCCTAGGCAACAGCAGATGCAAAGCAGTGGATCTGGAGTAGCGCAGAGAAAGATAGCGGGTCAGACGTCAAATAAAATTAATCTTGCATCGCCTAATATACAAACAGTGAAAGTGGTCCAGTGAAAATACTCCTATCTGGCATTTGTAGAATCTTTCGCAAGGTTTATCATCCTCGTATTTCTTACTACCAGGGATGGTATTCATGGTAGTTTTAATTTGCATAGTGACTCATTTGCATAGTGACTCATTTGCATAGTGACTCATTTGCATATTCTAATTTGCATTTTTGTTGGAGAAGACAATCATTATTGCGTATTTGTTATTCTTGAAAATATTATATTTTTGTTTTGTAATTTATGGTTAAATGTTATGATTACTGTATGATTGATCTGCCTCTTACTCTTTCACAAAGATGTTTTGTGATTCTAAGTTTTTGTATTATAGTTAAATGAAATGAAATTATGACTTGAAGTAATGGTTGCACTTGGTTTTGTTAATACCGGTAGATGTATCCACATTGGAGGCATGCAGATATGGTGATCAAATTAAAAATGATTGGTGCAATCAATCAAGTATATGCAATGATTTATGTCTTTATGTCTGATTTATGTATCAGTAAAATCAATTCATCTCTCAATTTATGACTTATGATACATATTGATTTTTTTTATCAGAAGTATTTTTTTTTTATGTTTTTAGTCTATAAAACAATTGTTGTATTTTTTTTTTCTTTTCAACGTTACTGCCGATTTCATATTCAGGTAAACTTGTATCAACTTAACTGCCATTTTGGATCCGATCTCGATACTTGAATTTTTTAGTTTACATATTTTAATTATCTTTGTGTTTTATGTACATTCGTTCAATTTGTGAATCTTGAAAATAGTTTTTACAAAAAATGTTGTGTTGGGCTTTATTTCATTATTATAACGTAATGTTCTCGTTCATTTGAATTTCCCAACCACAATTTGCACGCAACATGTAATTAAATTATTGTTTTTTTTTATACAATCTTGAACATAGTACAGTGGTTGCAGGTTGCGTACCCATTGTTTCTCCCAATCTGTTTGTCTGTCTGCGACAACTGTAATAAAGATTCATTTTACACAATCAAACGTTTTATTATTTAGAATACTGTTTATACTTAGACGGCCGATTCTTTCTAGTCGTATATTTCACCTAGGGCAATCATTATGAGGATATCGCCTGATATCACTTGTTCTTAGAGCTGGTTATTATAAGTGACGTCATTGGCTAGTATTATTCATGAATCAAAGGTGAGTGGAAATACAGCCCATGAAGTCAAGAATATTAATCATTTCTATGAATAAGTGATATCAGATGATATCTTTTAAATCAAATGACCAGCATGTAGTGCCAAAAAGAAATTTTATGAGTCTATGCTTATTGAATTGTATTCTTACAATGGGCATGTATTTGCAGTTCAGGCTGCCGGTGGTCTTCAGAATTGGCAGAACTATTACCTTTTTATAGCGATATTCTTTTAAACTAAACTTTTTAGTTATTGTCATTGAATGATATACATCATTGCGAAAACATTGTGTTGCTTTGTGTGATGTGTTGACTCAGGAACACACAAAACATCAAAGAAACCAGAAAGCTTTCAAATTTAACCTTTTATTTATATCGCCATTTTCAGTTACACCAACAGCCTTACTTTTTACATATCAATACACTTGAGTGATCAGGTGACATATAACCTCATTACAAAAGTATGTATTCTGACGCATGCAACAAAGTAGTCCCACACTTTGTCAGGGTTCCAAGATGAGCTGCTAACATGCTCTTGGTCAGAATACATGGAAATCTCTGTGAAAGTGAATTGAAACCTGTTTCCTGAAACACCGAAAAAACTCAACATTAATTTGATTTCAGATATGAGGTGATTGGCTGAGAAGCACGAAATGGATTGTCAAAGTAGTGCCTCATTTTGTTCAATTTGCAGTGCATAACTAATAGTTTGTTCCAAGGCTTACACAAATTCAATTGTGCACTCTGTGAATGGTACTAGACATTTTAGCACAAAAAATTCTTGATTTTATAATTTGAGGCTCTGCCACAGCTACAACATGATTTTCAAAATTTACTATGTTTATCTTACAATGGCTTTTGAGCTCCTACATAGTGCCACTTTCTAAAACTTGGTAGGGGGGGGGGGGAGCACAAAAACTGCAAAATATTTTCTTCTCTTAGTTTTGTTGTATTTTTGACTCCCGTGTGCGAAGCACAAAAAAGGGAGTCTTTGCAGTTAGTGTGTCTGTCTGTGTGTCTGTGCACGGTTACTAAAGTAACCGTGGTCTGTGTGTGTGTCTGTTCCACTGACATCTCAAGAACCATACATTGATTTTTGATGAAACTTTGTGCATAGATGCTCTGGGCCAATGCGATTAGGTTTTGGTAAAAATCCATGCATATTAATTACCTAATTTGCATGATAATTAGCTGATTTTTAGCTCTTCCATGATTGTTTCACTGATATCTAAAGAACCACTCATTGGATTTTGATGAAACTTTACACATAGATGCTCTGAACTAATGCGCAGATTTGATTAGTTTTGGGTAAAAATCTGTGCAATATTAATTACCTAATTTGCATAATGATTAATCAATTTTTGACTTTTACACTGATATCTCAAGTCCTAATCATCACATTTCAATAAAACTTGGTACATAGATATCATAGGTCACTGCACAGACCTGATAGTTTTTAGGGTAATATCAGTACATATTAATTACCTAATTTGCTTAATTAATTAATTTTCAGCTTTTGATATTTTAAGTAGTAATCATCACATTTCAATAAAACTTGGTACATAGTTACTTAAAGACTGTGCAGAGACCTGATTAGTTTTTGGGTAAATATTTGTGCATATTAATCACCTTATTAGCATAATTAGTTAATTTTCAGCTTTTCGCCTGATAACTCAAGTACCGGTAGTGATCATCATATTTCAATGAGACTTGCTACATAGATCCTCTAGGACTATGCAGAGACCTGATTAGTTTTAGGGTAAATAATTGTGGATATTAATTACCTAATTTGCATAATTAGTTAATACCGGTATTTTCCATGAATGTTTGACTGATATATAAAGAACCACTAATTGGATTTTATAGAGTATTCATCATCACATTTCAATGAATCTAGGACTATGCAGAGACCCAATTAGTTTTTGGTAAATATTTATGCTTATTAATCACCTAATTAAAATAATTAATTAACACTGATATCTCAATTACTGATCATCACATTTGAATAAAATTTGGTACATAAATGCTGTAGAACAAAAGACAGGCCAGATTAATTTTGGGTTGAAATTTGTTCATATTAATTCTCTAATAATAATTCATAGTTTTTTTTGTTCTAATCACATTTCAATGAAACTTGGTACATAGATATTACATTACGCAGGCCTTATTAGTTTTACACTAAAATCTGTTCATATCCGTTACCTGATTTTAACATAATTCAGCTATTCCCTCAATATCTCAAGTACAAGTAATTTTGCCCTCCCCAAATATTTAGAAGAGCAGAATTTTTGTTGGATATTAATCTCCCCAGGGTTGCCCCCCCCCCCCCATCCGCCACAGCTCTCTCCCCAAAAAATATGAGTAGATACATTTCCGGAAACATTATTACGACTTTGAAATTTGCTGATCACTTGAAACAATCACTGATGCATTATTGGTAATAAAATACTAATTAAGCTTTTGAGTGCCAGAGTCAGCTTTTGTCATTTTTAAAAATAGCTAGCATTATATTTTCAAAAATTCTTATCAAGTCGATGTACCCACCTGAAAAGATTTAATAATTGTAGAGACGTACATAACGTAAAAAAACAAGTTATACTTCTCTTAAAAAGTTCTTTGTGGTAATCCTCGGGGGCGGACATCCGGGTATTTTCACCGCCTGGCAACCAGCGGCGGTGAAAACAAAGGCCCAAAACTCGCAGAAAACGGTACTTTGGGATGATTGTTGAGACTCCTCTGAACAGTGTAACAAGATTGGCCCTACGTGTGTAACATGTATAAATTTGGTTGTTCGGGATTACTTCAAAGTTGAGTTTGTGTTGTTTTTCTCGAATTTTCACCGGCTCGACCGGCGTTCCACAGCAGCGCGCACAGAGCCCATAGAAATGCATGTACAGTGGTGCGCGTCTTAGCAACGTGGAACGTCTTGTGACGTAGCTCCGCCCCTGAGGATAGCTAGTTTATTCAATGACACAGATTTTAAGATAGATGTTTTGGATGTGGAGTAATACATGCATGTACACTAAAGGTTGATTTGCATCAACAAAACATCTACTGACACAGAAAA